TGGTTCGTCTTCTTTCTTAGTAATACTTAAAATTTCTTATTAATATAAAAGAGGCACGAAAGTCTTCGTGCACTCTAAACAATTAAATAAACTTTTTAAAATCAACGATCTGACTTTTTCGGAGAAATTTAAACGATTAGTTTACAAGGTAATGCATAAAAAAATATATGGAAAAATTACAATTCGTTTGAAATCAAGATCCAGTCAATAGCGATCAATAGCTCGATAGTTCCAGCGAGTCGCTTGAAGCGACTAAATTTAATCGACTAAAGTAGTCGCCTGAAAGTAATCGCTTCAAGCGACTAATATTATTCGCCTGAGAGTAATCGCTTCAAGCGACTAATATTATTCGTCTGAAGTCAGTCGCTTCAAGCGACTAATATTATTCGTCTGAAGGTAGTCGCTTCAAGCGACTAACATTATTCGTCTGAAGTTAGTCGCTTCAAGTGACTAAAGTAGTCGACGGTTAAAAAAATTAGTCGACTAAAAGTAGTCGTTGGTTACTATCGGCTTAGTCGATAGTTTTTAGTCGATGGTGCCCATCACTAGGACCTGTATATACGACCGTGGTCGATACTCACTCTATTCAGTACGAATACTTTTGTTCAATATCTACTTGGAATCGCAACCGCAGCTATCGATCCAAAAGTACTCGGTATCGAAACAAAAGTATCGAGTAATGTACTCTGTTGCGTGGGCCCTCAGGGAATCCTGAGTCTCAAAGTAATTAAAGTTCGTAACACGTTAGTTTGATAGATAATTTTGAATAAAAAGGAAATTGTAATAATAATAATAAAGAACAATAAAGATTTAAATTAAAACTTGGAGAACTATATTTAAACTATTTAAATAAACGATTTATAACTAATTTTAAAGGAAAACAAATTTAATTGATAAAGAAATTTTTATACGTCCTTTCTATTACAAAGTTGTCGGTGGAATGTTACGTCTTTTCATTTCCTTTCGTATATCATTTTGTTTAATTACAAAATGTCCTTAGTTACTACTGACCAATCTTATAATTATTAATTAGTAAGATTAAACCTGATTCGTTGATGTGCTTCTTCCCGGTTATTGATAACGAACGATTTACATATTTGTAATGATTCTGAGCGTTAGGATAGGAGGCAAAGGCAACTGGCAAATGTTTAAACATTCGTTTCTAAGTGAATATTGATTATTTTATAATCTTGAAATCCATTTATTAAAAGGATCTCTAACAGATTTCACACTTCTTCAAATCAGTGTCAACTTCACCTTTACCCTCCTTTCCTATTACATGTGTTATTCGATTCAAACTTCGCGCCTGTAAAGCTTATGACATATACCGCTACGTGATATGAGCGGGGACCGCAACAACTCATATTTACTTGTATCGATTCATCCCTATACCTCGGTGTTCTATGGCATACCCCCGCAGAACAACGCACTGTCCTTTAGATCCACGTAGTCCATGGATGCACATGGATGGATGAAACCCTTTCATCACGAAGGAATGCCTCCACACAGCCATAGGCGAATTCCCCCCCAACAGCCCCATTAAAAAGAGAAGTCTGTTACTCCATGTATTATCCTCTCACTCACGGCCAACCTCATCTCTACCATAAGACTGCGCAGTCTTGTATATGTCTATGGATGAAACTAATCATAGAGTATCTCAAACTCAAAGGAGAACTCTCATAGCGGGTGATGAATATCGCTTTTTAATCGCTGCACCAGTGTTACCAACTGTAATTCCATATATTTCATCATATATTTTATTCTGTATTATAAACAATTATAAATAGGAATTTGGATTGTAGAAGAAAATAAGGTTTCTGTTGTATTTGTGCAGTAAAACTCGAAATATTCAATTTATCCCTGTTATGCAAAAAGGTGAGATATAACTGTGTAAATAAGAAAGAAGGTCTCAGCCAAGGCAATTATATGAGAACTATAACCTTGTAAAATCAACAAATAATTCTAATAACAGAAATAGAACTTAATACAGTATTCTCAACTTTAATATCAGTACTTTTGTACTTTCTGTTCGAAAATTATGAGAAAAAAATATAATTTTCAAATCTAAAATTACTTTAACGCACTCCATAAGACTTCCTTTATTCGTGCAGGCATAAAGGAACAAATAATTTAAAGAACACAATGAAAACTGATGTAGACGACTTCAATGAAAAACAGGGAGCATTTACACCTAAGAATTCATCACATTTTAAAAAATTGACTAAAAATGAACATGAAAATAATCCATTTAACAAGCGTTTCTTAATCAATGACGGTAAATGTTATTCATTACCTGAACCACAAAAAATGTTCAATGATCCGATATGGTTGGTTGATCAGTTACAAGCATTGAAGAACAAGTTGAATGATGTAAAGAGTTTCTTAAATATTTATAATCTTACCGAATGGCATTCACATACAAAATTAAGAAACATTGCAAAAGATGTCATGCCACGTCTAAAAAGAGAGATTCAACCAGAATTGTTAACTCAGGCATGGTGCAAATTTTATGAAATAGTGTCATCTTTTCCTTTAGTACCAATAAGTCATATTAACAATAACAATAAACATTTTAAGTCTATCCATTTATGTGAAGCACCTGGAGCTTTCATTACATCTTTAAATCATTGGTTAAAAATAAACGAACCTAATATTCAATGGGATTGGATTGCTACAACATTAAACCCATATTATGATGGTAATCCATTATCTTTAATGTGCACTGATGACAGATTTATAAGGCATACATTAAGTCATTGGTATTTTGGAGCAGATGGCACTGGAAACATTATGAATTTAAAAAATTTGGATGAACTGATAAGATTCTCAGAGCCACACAATGACATATTTTTAGTTACTGCCGATGGCAGTATAGATTGTACAGATGTTCCAGGGGAACAAGAAAATGTGGTAGCACATTTACATTTCTGTGAAACTGTAGCTGCTCTACATCTACTACATACTGGGGGTAGTTTTTTATTAAAGGTTTTCACTATTTTTGAATGCCATTCAGTATGTCTAATTTATCTCCTATGTTGCTGTTTTAATGAAGTTAGCATGGTAAAGCCAGCTACAAGTAAAGAAGGAAATTCCGAAACTTATATAGTATGCACACATTTTAAGGGACCATCATTTTTCTTACCTTACTCAGAGAAACTTAGACAATACTATGAATGTAGCCCTGAGAAAGCAATGTTCAATAAGAATGATATTCCATCTGCATTTATAGAAAAAATTATAGAGTGCAGCGAATTCTTTAAGTCTCGACAAATTACAGCTATACAAAATAATATTATTACATTTCATTCGGATAATACTAAGAAGTTGCGTGACATAAAACAAATTCAGCATATGGTTGCTGATAAATATATTACATATTATAATTTAAGAGTATTAACATCAGGAGAAATTGTTGGAAATGTAAAATTAAAAGGATGTCGTAGTGTTAATACATGTCAAAGGCCAATACAAGAGTCTTATAATGACCGTTGTGAGCGAAAACATTTAGCGCCATGGGATCAGTTAAAAGCTTTCTTTAATGACTCCACTAAAATAGAAATTCATACGCAATCTGATAAACCTATACAAGTAAGCTATTGTTTACTTGAACTTAAAGTCTTGTTACAGTACACATTAAAAAAATTCTTTTTATAGTTCGACTCTATTGAATTGCCAGAAGATTTACAAATTACTTCAGGAAAACTATTTCGTAGAATACGTAGCTCAGGATTCTGCAATGACAACGTCCTAAAAATGCAAAACAGCACTGATGACATTCTTGTTAACATGGGACACAATATACAATTTCCATCAACAGAAAATATAAACCAATTAAAAGAAGTTCTTAATCAGTCGGGACATAAACTTTTAATTTTTCAGTATACTGATGATCATGATAGTCACAAAATAATTAATAAAATTTATGATGCAGTGCAAAACCTTGATATTGGAGACACTTTAGTTTTAACTGGTTACTCATTATTATCTTATTTGAATGTTGGACTCCTTTATGTCATGAGGTGTACTTTTGAATCACTTAAACTAAATCTTTGTAACAAAACTGGTGCAAAAATTATATTAGAACATTATAATTACAATATGAAAGTACTAAAATATTTAATGGACGTTAAAGCTGTTTCTTCTAGCATTCAAGAAACAGGAAATGCTGTTATACAAATAATTTCTCCACCATTTCTATATGGTAAGACATAATATATGTTTGTAGTACCATATTTTCTACAATATTTCTTCTTTTTCTAGAGTGTGATCTATTCAATACAATAGTGGATATTAATCACTGGGTTATTAAATCATATATTCATTATGTTAGTAATACAGTAAAAGGAAATATTTAACCAAAAAGGTTACATACAATATGTAACGAAAAGTTACATATATGTTTTCCAACATGTAAACAGCCAAAGTTGTACCAATACTTTTGATATAATAAATGATGATTATACATTTCTAAATGGTGTATCTTCTTCTTGTACATTTATTATCGTAGTACTGTTCTAAAAATAACAGTTCTTGGCTGCCTTCTTTTTATAAATTTTCTGTTCTTTTTATTCAAGCAGCAGTTAAATGGTAATTTTAATTTACAATATACCTTCGTAGGTCAATACGAATTAGTATCATGAAAATTGGTACATGTAGGGAGTATGTTCGTTTATTTTCAACCAAACGAATTGTACCCAAAATTTGTATTGTTGGTGCGGGACCAGCAGGTTTTTATGCTGCACAACATTTACTGAAGGTATGTAAAAAACTCAATATTGACACTGTGCCATTATAACACAATGATTTGTTGCAGAATTCCAGTGATATACATGTGGATGTATTAGAAAAATTACCAGTACCATTTGGATTGGTACGTTTTGGTGTAGCTCCAGATCATCCAGAAGTGAAAAACGTTATTCACACTTTTGAGAAAATAGCATCTAATCCACGCTTTCAATTTATAGGAAACGTTAACGTAGGAAAGGATGTTACCATAAAACAATTACAAGAAATTTATCATACAGTTCTGTTGGTATGCATAATCAGAATGTATTTACTTTCATTCAACTTTAAAGTATTATATTTCATATGTTATTACAGGCATATGGTGCAGAAGAGGATAAAGAATTTCATATAGCTGGAGAAAATTTGAATAATGTAATATCAGGACGACGCTTCGTCGGTTGGTACAATGGAGTACCAGCAGATAGCAATATAAAAGTTAACTTAGATGTAGAAGAAGCAGTTATACTAGGGCAAGGTAATGTCGCCATAGACATTGCAAGAATTTTATTAACACCAATAGACAAATTAAAGGTAAAATAAACCTCAATAAATAGTTTTTCAAGTATACTTTCCCAATGTAGCTAAAATTTTATTGTTTTAGAATACTGATATAACATCATTTGCATTAGAACAATTGTCACAAAGTAAAGTACGCAAAGTTTCATTAATAGGAAGGAGAGGACCATTACAAGCTGCATTTACAATTGCTGAACTACGCGAAATAATAAAGTTGGAAGGTTGTACAACTTATTGGCGTTCAGTTGATTTTGAAGGTATAAAACCTATTGTTGACACCTTAGCAAGGCCTCGGAAAAGATTGACTGAACTTATGCTGAAGTCGTTAAACGAAACAAGTACAAATACAAAGTCCAGTGTCAAAGAGCTGCATCCAATATTTTTAAGAAGTCCAGTAGAATTTTTAGGTTCCAATAGTGTTACTGGCATCAAACTATCAATAAATAAACTTCAAGGGAGTAATTTACTTAAACAAACTGCAATACCTACTGAGTCGTTTGAAGAGATTCCATGTGGCTTGGCGTTGCGTAGCATTGGCTACAAATCTGTTCAGATAGATTCATCAGTACCATTTGATACTGAACTTGGCCGTATCAAAAATTCGACCGGCAAAATTGCAGATAATCTTTATGCTACAGGTTGGGTTGCAACGGGTCCTGTAGGTGTTATATTATCAACAATGACAAATGCATTTCACGTTGGTGGATTGATGAGTAAAGAGCTATCATTTACAGAAAATAAACCGGGATCAGTAGATTTATACAGAATTCTGAATAAGAAAGGTATACATTCAGTATCATATAATGATTGGGAAAAAATTGATAAAGTAGAGTGTGAGAGAGGAAAAAGATTGGGTAAACCGAGAGAAAAGATAGTTGATATTAAAGAAATGTTAGAAATAATTACAAGGTAATCAGTACAAATTAATATTTTTTTAATTGGTGATCAGCCTTACTTTTTTTTTATATATTGTTTATACTAGAACATGTGATTCTATTTATAAACTGTGTTGATGCACTTATAGAGTTTATTTACACATTATAGTATTCAAAATGTCATAAAAATACTGTATAAAACATTTCTAACCATTTACAGTTTTTTTTTTAACTGGAAATTTCAGAATATTTTATAGACCATTAAAAATATGAAAAAGTTGTAATGTGGCACACTGTTGTACTCACTATACAAAGACCATCTTATTACGAATAAAGATATATAGTATTCCACTTAAAAAAAATTAAGTTGACCTTGAAATCGCCCCTACAATTTTATACAAACAGAAACTACATATTTACACCACACAATACCCCCCTCTATACGAGACAACATGAGACATTTTTACATTTCTAGTTTAAAAAAACATTGTACATTACACAAATCTCAGAAAAATTATTGAAAATTAAAGACAGACAAAAATTACGACGATGTATCTATTCTAATGGTTACAATTATATTTATTGTAATCACCTGAAAAGATTGTAAATTGTTGGATTATTAATCATTAATTAACAAAAAGTATGAATACTAGAAGTTCATACATCGCATAAAACATACATTTATCTACGTAATTGTTAATAAAATGTCTTTTTATTGGTGTAAAACTCTTATTATGGTATATCCATATTTATACCTGCATACTTAATTAATGTTTCATTAATTATCCGCAAATGGTGGTGTAGGGTGTTTAAAAAACACAAATAACATAATTTATAATAAAAAGACTGTATGTAGATGACGAATTGTTTATTAATCTCCCTTGCAATGATGCTGGACAATAAAACTCATCACGAATTATGAATTCGTAATTTATAATCGTATAAGAGGCTGTTCCGAATTATTGGACCTGAAGGACGCTGCGTAAAGTACACTTATTGACGGGTGGTTGGAAGAACTGAGGGGAGCCGTGCAGAGCCGTGGGCCACTGATTGCCGCCCTACACTGCCCAGCGCTATCTATGCCGTACCAATTTCTCGCAGAACGTTTAAATTTGATCATTTGTGCTTAATATGTTGCATAATGCACTTCGGCATTTTCGAAATCGATTACCGGCTACTAATAATTTACATTTTTATAACAATTTTTCACTTTCAAATATAATATTTTTACTATTTTACTTAGAACTACAATAATATACACAAAGGTGGGTACGTATTTTACACCGTGTCGTAAATGCATTAACCTGTACAAAGAACGTTTTATAGGTTACAAACACCTCGTATGTATTTTCATTTCAGTATACGACATTTACGACACGTGTTACGTATAAAATGAAAAATTCGCGTATTCCAATGCTTTCACACCACCGACTAGTCGGTGTTCACACAATAGCGTCACCAGTATCATTACAAAGAACGCCATGAAGGACGCCACTTTTAATAATTATACTTGGCTGTAGAGGACACCACCAGTAGTCCCTCTCATGGCGGCCGAAAGCCGATCTCCCTTCCGTCTTTCGGCCTGCCCAGCAGAACTATGCAACGTCCTTCCTTCAGGTCCATTGCCGGAATTCATAGTCGCGCCTTAAGCATTTGCTTAAGCATTTCTAAACAAAGATTGCCTTATTTTACAAGAAGATCTTACGAGACCCGACATCTGTCGGGATCCCGATACGATTTATACTATCGGGATCCCGGCCGATCTGGCCGACCGACCCCGATATGTCGGGTACCCGCAAACCCAGACGCGGAACCCTACCGCGTCCCAGACCCCAGACCGCCCTGATTGGGCGCTGGGTTCGGTTGTGGTGTTAGGCGACGGATCCATGACCCTTAGCGTGCTGGCGCGAAAAATGAGGGCCTTTTCCATTTTTCTAAGTACAACATCATTGTCTTGTTATATATTCTATATTTTACTTGGTTTATTTTTACAATATACTTAGAAAGATGGACTGGATTGGTTTGTCTAGATATTTTTAGGACCGCCTTGCGTCGCAGATCTTATGCCCCAAGTTGAATATTTACAGAATATTTCTGACACTCAGTATGTTTGTACAAATAATATGTGATAATTAATACCTACATACATGTTTGTTTATTATGTTTATGATATATTACGTATATTGTATATAGTTTATACATCTGTTTGTTTATAAGTTTTATATTAAATATTCAAATAAATATATAAAGTATATTATTGTATTTTATTTTCTCTCAAGGTATAAACAATTTTTGTGTTGCGTATTATTAAGGTTAGGAAAATACAATATAATTCGATACAAGTAGGTATCGATACTTTTATTTCGATACCGAGGAAGTATCGATACCTTCATACAAAACTATATAGCAATGAGTAAAAGTATCGATACCTTGGAGGTATCGATTCAACCCTACTCATGGGTAGAGATGAATCGATACAAGTAAATACGAGTATATTACACAATACTGTTGTTTCGATACCGAATACTTTTGGTATTGATACGTAAGGTTACGATACCAAGTAGGTATTGAACAAAAGTAACTGTATCGAATGAAGTGAGTATCGATCATAGACACATATAACAAATAGACTGCGCGGTTTTATGGTAGGGATGAAGTCAGCACTAGAAAAAGAGAACAATAATTAGAGTAGAAAAGAGAAGAATAAGTGCAGCATTCCTTCTCCTCATCGCCCTCCAGTCGCTTTCTCCCCTCCCTCTGCGATGTGCGAGCGAGAGAGGAATGACTCCATCGGTACTTCTGTCCTTCGGTCTCGCTTCATCCCTATCATAAGACCGCGCAGTCTATTATACATATATGTCTATGCGCTTCATCCCTACCATAAGACCGCGCAGTCTATTATATATGTCTATGACATTATCAACTATATTTAGCAGACTTGTGACACCAGTGGACACCAGTCAAAATGAAAGCCCGTTCTTACATCATCCTGTTCAATGGTCGGTTCACAGCGCCTGATTTAGGCACGGTACATTTAGCAATCAATTCGTAATTTAGGCGGCAATTCATTTCATTTACGTAAAATTATTTTACTTATTCAAATAATTTAGTGTATTGCGCAATATTTCAATATTATTTCAATTAATCAACTGTAGATAGTACGTGATGTATCAGTTTGAGATTTTTAATTGTTTTAATTTCACCAAAGTGATGGTATTTTTAACGTGTTTCAGTGTTGAAAAACGTTTACTTCAAACAGCAAACAAAACCTTAGAATTTGTTCGTAAATAACAAACAATGATTTCATTCGAACAAAACTTGATTGTTAACCGCGAATATATATCTCTGGTATTACTCGAATAAATTGTGATTTATTATTCGTAATTCACCAGCAACAAATCAATATAAGTGCTAATCGATATTACCGTTTTACATCAACGATTAACATTACCAAGGACAATAACGAAAAGTTTTCGAGATACATAATGGTGCAATTGTTTTTAACAAAATTGTTTATACTGGCTATACAGACAATCATTATTCAACTAGATATTCATCCGAATAAAAACATTCGAATAACGCTCCACCTTCAACGTGCTTGCACGGAGAAAGAGCGCGTTTTGCTCGGCGTGATTCGGATGCGGTCGGCTTCGAACGGATTGAACGGTCCTCGATTGGTCGCAGCTTGCGAGTCAGCGAAACGTGAATCAGTCACCGTTGACGGCGACCAGAAGCGACGAGTTCGAGTCGAGCCGGTTGTGAAGAACGTGGGTTACGGTCGGTGCGTGTCGCCGGTGAATGAAGCGGTCTAATTATTACGTGCGATGGCCGCGTGTTACAGCGAGCAGGCATTATCTGCCTCGGAAAACGTAACGAAAAAGTTACCTGCGGCCACCGCGAAGCCGGTCTGTTGGCAGCACAGATTGTTCGGTAAACAACTGTCGCGGTGCAGTCAGGTTAATCAACAGGACACGAAGCCATGCGATGCAAGTGGTTCGCTCGTCGACGAGGACGGTCGACCGATTTCTGAAGTGATCGGTGTGTATTTTAGTTTCATTAACCCCGGTGCTACCTGCGACGACTTCACGCGTCAGCTGCTCGATCTCTACGCGAGTGTCAACTCGTCGCGCACGAAGAACGACCGGGATGCCGAGAATCCTGGCAAGGAGAGAGAAAGGAGAAAAAAGTTCGAGGTCGTGCACGTGGTTCTATGGAGTAACGTAGCCGACGTTCTCGACTTCGAGGAAAGTTTCCGTGCACATGTGGCCGAGTTACCTTGGCTGGCTGTGCCGAACTTAGACTACGAAAGAAAGGTAAGACGTTTATCATTTCATCTTCTGGGTCTAGTTTTGAATGTACCGCTGCAAAAAACGCTCCAGTGATAGAGTTCCCGAATAGTTAACTGATCGTAGTATTATGTTGCTGATTGCGCATTGAAATTGTAGTGTAATACGGTATAGCAGAATTAAGATATGCCGCCTCAGGGAATGTTGTTAAGCGACCGAACAGGGAGATTTCCGTTTTTTACGCTACGCTGCATTGAATTTACTACAAGCACCGTTACTGTGTTTGCATTAATATTGCACTGAAGGCAGAAATAATATCACTCGGTTAATTATAGCATTATTTTCATTTTCCTACGATAAAAATTTTGCTTCTGACGAAAATAATGAAATAAAAGTATTATACGTTTGATAAAATTAATGATGAAACTATCAAAATAAGTTTTATTACTAATTGGGTAACTACTAAATGGGCCATTAGTAATTGAAAGGAGTGAATGATTAGATACATATAAAATTGTATACGTCAATAGTTGGTACATGATTACTTCTGTAATAAAATTCGAGGGAAATATTTCGATTTTATTTTTCAGTACTTTGATAAAAATGTTGACAGCATCAAGTTTGTTTGTATTAATAATGAAATATTATATCATGAAAATTTTTGGAAGCTTTTCTGTTGTTGTATAATTTGCAGAATAAGAAATGCCGTAAATGCTTAAAATCTGTCTCATTACTCGAATGTTCCTACCACGGTTTTCTGTTTCAAGCAGATGTCACTGACTCTCCATCGTTCGAACCGCAGACATGCACATGCCTCAATTAAATTCAATTAAATAATTAGACTCGGTTTTTAAATTCGAATAACGGTCCTCCAGCGGCGGTGGCTATTCAGAGAATCTGTAACTTCTTGAAACTTCCGAGGCGTTCCGACTAATTTTAAAATCTGTTCTCGGTAATAATTTTAATGGTCTCCGTTTCAATATTTCGAGGATCGTTCGTGAAGGTTCTTGTCTGAATCTTTAAGCAGACATCGGTTAATAATGTCAATATTTATAAATACTACTGGTTTACTAATTCCACCGAGGTATTAATAAATATTTACTGTATGTAATACTGAACATATGTGGGCTATAGCGATGAACGGTCACCGAGTACTGACGCTGATCCGGATTTTTTTTATCTTCCAACACTGATCGTGGAGTGCCGGCGATACTGGTAGTAATTACTATACTGTGGATGTCCATGCATGTATAATAAATCTGTATATGCGAAACTCGATAAAATTCTATATTTAATCGTGATTAATGAAATTTTGTTGACATTCACGTGATATAACTTACGGTAGAGGAAACAAATTTATATACTTTTTTTTTTGGTTAAATAAATTTACAAAAAAGTACAAACATAAATTGCTACTAAATCATACACATACGCTGTGATTTATTGAAAGCACATACAGTAGCGGATAAAAAAGTTACTATTTTTTCGATGTTTTATTTTTATTACTTTTTATCGTCAACTTTAATATGTTTTTAATATATATTCTGACAGATAATAAAGAGCTGTATAGAATTCAGTACATTAAGGTTTTAAGTTAACGTTAAGAAATAATAAAAATAAAAAAAATCGGAAAGGTTAATTTTCTTGTTCGCTACGGTATTGTAAGTACAGACTCGAAATACTTACAATAATAATTGAACAAAGAATATTATGCCTCTATAGCATAAACGTTTGCCTGGAAGACAGTATACAATAATTGTATAGTAAAGCTTGACGAAGTTTTATAAGCTTTTATTTTATCTGGAGCCTGATTTTATTTAATAAACAATAAACAGTACTCGGAAACCGCACGCTTACTGTGAACGTCACTCATTCACTCTGCCATGACAGTCGCAGTCGAAGAATTTCTTTTCGTGTTCCACATACCCGAACAAAATTATTGACTTGTCATAAACGTGTAATTATTCGTTGAACATATGTACGCGCTCATACCATGGAAATGGTTGATGGAGTAAATACCCATATGTGGTGTTCGCCTTGCGGTTAAACATATATGTACAGAGTATACAGATTATATTCAATTGAAGCAACTAAATGAATTTCTATTTGGTAAATTGAACAATAAACATTTGTATTTGCATACACGTCTATAGCCTAGTAACAATGATACTCAAAGATGATGAAGGTAGGCCCAATTCTGTTTTTACACGAACTTTTTGTACATAATTTTGATTTAACACGAATTAGAAAAAAAATTACATTCTCTTTTTACACGATCGACCCAAATTCTAAGAAAAAAAATTTCCTTTGTCCTTTTGTCAAATATGCTCCTATTGAGGAACGAACTGGGATGTTCTAACATGATCTGAAATCATTGACGACGTATTGAATTGAATGATTCGAATTGATGAACATGAAGGCATTAAATGCAATCAAAACACGTACACAAGGATGAATAACTGAATTCGCTCTTAATACTTAATACCACTGAAACATCAGCACTATAAGAAACTAGTGCTAATTATGTTCAAGAGATCACAGAAAGAATTTCACCAATGGAGCAAGAAGACTATGACCAAGATGTTTTGTTTTCTTTTCAAGCGATAATTTACATTATATAATACATTTTTAGATACATGTGCAATCTTCATAAAATGAGAAATGAAAACACGTTAAAAATGATAAGATTCTAACATAAATTTGCATATGATTTATACTATTATTTTTGCTAATTTTTTAGATCTGGAGCGAATCTTCTATTTTTCTATAGATACAGTGTACCTACTTTCCTACACGAATTTTTTTTTACACACATTCTTCCGGAACGTTCAAACCGGAAAAGTCAATGTCCCTATTTCTAATCACATCCCCATTTCTGCTCAGTACGTATATTTTTTTCTTGATGTAAAAAGTCAATTAATAAATTGGTTATACAATAAATTATTGCAATTACTAGTTCAGTATTTCCGTACAAAATGCTACAGCTCTCTATTCAATAGATGACAGCATTTTAATAGAAATAAATTTAATAAGTGTGTCCGTCGTAAAGAAACGTGATTTGAGCGGTTCCGTTGCGATCGTGAGTTACACGTGGACGCTGCATTTTTACCAAAAAAAATGTGCAGAATATTTAATATTGTTCGTCAAAATTTTGGTTATGGCACTTCCATTTTTGCTGAGTAGAAACAGGGACACGCTCGTGAGCAGAAATGCGAACATTTTCATTTTCGCTAAGCAGAAATAGTTTTTTTTATTAGAAGTTTTAAAAAATACTTTTATTTAAATTTAATTATAAAGGGAGGTTCAAGGTTTATATCAAAACTTTTTTTTGTAAATTGTTGCATAAATAAACAATAATAATCCATTTTTACGATAGCAGAACTCTTACATGATTAAAAATAGGGACATTAACCTTATCTACCGTGTAAAATTAGAATTGGGTGTACTGTCAGTGTGGTCGAGTCAGAATTGTTGGATCAGCATTATTGACCGCCTGTGGTTCGCTGTAGGGTTAGATACAGGGTACATGTTCGTTCGAGGCGAATCTGCCATTCGACATTTGTACAAATGTTTCTCTGTCCATAAAGTTATACGTGTTTACAGAGGGGTAGGGGCAGGGGCACACACGGGGGCACCACACATGCCGTTATGCAGAACGACCACGCGTGTGCAGCGTCTTTTTTTTTTTTTATTTCCAACGGGTGTTTTAACCCCTCGCCAGACGTGCTATTT